TGTGTGTGTGTGTGTGTGTGTGTGTGTGTGTGTGTGTGTGTGTGTGTTTGTCAGGACACATAAAGTGTACCTCTGTGTTTTATACAAAACGTGTTTGACCACATGAATTTCCCTGTGTGGGATAAGTATAATTGACTTGACTTGTGTATTAAACTAATTTAAATAACACATTTTTCATTAGTAAACCAGGGATTGAATTAGAAACATTCATCAGTATGGTGCATACTGATTTAATGCTAAAATATCACACAGTAGTCTGAATGATCGTCCTACTCTGATGCTCATCCAGCCTGATGCCTCTGTACTCTCAGGGATTTGTTCACCAGACACCTGAATAAATACATGTTGGCTTTAGATGTTAACAAGGGGTCCAAATTGGCCAACAATTGATAAATGGACTGAATTCAAGTAGATTATTCCAAAAATAATTTTCAATAAGAGTACACCTGAGAGTCAATTCTTCATTACATTTTGATTTCTGTTCTTTTATGGGTGTTCATTGATTACAAACAAACTGCACAATGTCTGGCAGCTTTGAACACATGATGTTTCAAAAGCATGTGATCACAGAAAAACATGAATGGTAGACTTGTGGTTGCTTATAAATAAACTCCTATTTGGACGGTCATAGTTTATGTGTTCTAGTGTCCGGCACAACCAATCCATTTGGGATGCAGTCTTTGAGTGCTTTTACAGTTTTCCTCCCAGCCAACTGCTCCTGCGCTTGTGTTACTGCTGCATGCTAGAGGGGAAGAAAGAAGACGCTCTCAGTATCTGCACTTTTGGCCAGAAATGGGGAAGTAGCGCAGTCACACTGCAGACTGTCTCAGAGTGTCTCAGTGGCTGGGACAAAAGTTGTTTAAAAAAACGAATTAGTCAAGTAGCTCCAGGGGTTTTAGCCCCACCAGAACTGCTGAAGTGACACTTCTGAATGAGAGGTTTCCAACTGTTTTAAGTATTTTTTAGGCCCTCATCACTGCAGACATGTTTACTATTCATAGTCAAAGCAAAGGTTTTACTGATAACATCAACAATGACTCTGTTCTTTTAAAGTCAGTGTGACAGTGAGCCAACATGAACAATACCAGCACCCTGAAACTGAAGCAGCTAAATGGAATTCAGCCATCATTCACTTCATTATTTACATCTGTGTTTCTTTCTACGGTGACAAGTCAAAACGTCTTCAGTGAAAATTACTTTTGTTAATGATGTTTTATTTTTTGAGTGATCATGTGGAAAAGAAAAACAGAATATAAATGTATAAAAATAAGAAGAAAATGATAATGGTAAATAACCACAAATAATTACAAAACATGTTATACATTTATAATGAAATAAAGGGAACATACACATACATTTGTTTGTGTATGTATGTCAATTAATTTCCATACTTTCATACAATTTAGACAAATATCGTGCATATCCACAATTATAGATGAACACTTGCTTAGAAATATTACGGTTTGTGTTGACAGTAAACATTGTGATTCATTGGATTTCATGTTTAATGTTAAATTAGTTGTTTTTAAAGTTGTTTTTTCCCCCACAGAACATAACATTATTTAATATGAGATTTCTTTCAGACAAATTGCTATAATAGAATAAGCAGCAGCAGTATTGAAAGTATTCTTTGTTAACTTAAAGTGTTTCTCAGATGCTTCAAACCAGTTCTCAGGTTTTCACCACAAATGTTGAAAAATGTTGGTGTAATAAGCAGCTGACACAGCGGCTTGACTAACATTTTATTTTCATAGAGCAGACCAAATTCTACATTTTAAAAGTGATACGACCGAAGATATTATAAATATATGTTTGGTAATTACTGTGTGTTTAACATATTTGTTTACATCCTCTTTAAAAGGATGACATCTTCATGGGACTTCATTGCATCAGCTCATTTAGGACTTTATCTGGCTCTGTAATAATGTTAACCACCCACTGATGCCTCGGACCCTGACAGTATCTCTCCTTACCACACCGTGTTTCTAATCCTCTGAGCACCTTGACATGCTATCTTCCACTGCGCCTTCCATTTTACTTATACGCTTTTGTAACATCCAGGCTGCACTATTTCAGCGATATTCTTTATGAAAGGTTAACACATGGATGTCTGGTTCTGCATGAGACACTGAATACCCCCCCCCCCCCCCCCCCCCCCCCCCCGGCTGTATATTTACATTGAAGGAAAACAGGAACAGGTTAAAAACAAAGCCTATTTATAAACAACGTGACTCTCTTCAACACATTTTTTGATAGTCAACACCGATTTATTTAGAAAGAGCTGAGGATTATCTGGAGATAATATTTATTCCATAATGCTTATAATAATTATAGCCTCTTCATTTAAAAAAAGCTGAATTCAACAAACAAAGACAAAGCTTCTCTTTGCGATGGTGGAGCAGGCGACTGTTTCTCTAACACTAGACAGCAGACAGTCTCCTCTCAGACAACTATCTGACGGACGTGTTGTGATTGTGTAAAAGCTGGATCTCTTGTATGTCCTTCTGTCAGAGAGTCTTTGTTCTGTGTTCATTGCAGTCTTGTGACACAGTGCTAGAGATGGTGACACACACGCACGCGCGCGTCTTACAATAGTTGTTTTTCTTTCCTCCATCAGCCGATGGATATCAGCACGTGGCCTCCACGTCACGCGAACATCAGCACCTCGGACAGCAGCCTCTGTCAGTGCGCTGCCTGCTGCGGATGGCGCTCATCTTCTCAGCCGCAGGAGGGAAGGTGTTTTTTTAAAGGAAAACTGCTTTCTGTAACTAAACCGATAAAGAAGTTTAGGTTTGAGCCGACGTGCCTAAAATAAACAACTGACAATCAACACCCTGGAGGTCGTGGACACGTCGCCGCAGCCTGCCATGTGGCAGTTTATTGTCCCACTGATTCACGGAGGCCTTGGTTTAATTTGGTGAAGAGTTTAATTTGGTTTAAGGATGATGTGCGGTTGTTTTAACAACCCGGAAGGGACGCTTGCAGCCTGCTGTCGGCTCATTTTGTGTTCGCAGGAATCCATATCTGACACCTCTTTCCTCCGGATTTTTGGCGCAGAGATGGTTGGGAAAAACAGAGAACTGTGAGTGCAACTTGTCGTGAAACCAATTTGAATTGTTCTTCAGATTTGATTTTTTTTCGTATCCTTCTCTAACACGCAACGCTGCTGGATTGTAACTTTGTAACGGGGTTGTCGGAAGGTGTGGGACGAAAGCCACTCGATCTAACAAAAAAAAGGCTCGAGCGAAGAAGAGACAAGAGGAAAAACTGGTGACTTGATGGATGCCACTGCGAGACAACAAAGGATGCACGCTTTGCTGTCGTGATATCATCTCCCCTGTAGGTAAATGGAGAAACTCAAATGTAAATCGGCTTTGACTTAGTTGTTAATAGGATTTAATATCAACCCCCTTAGACACCCTCGCTGCTTTTGCACCTGAAGACAAATATACTCCAACATTTGTCCTCTGATGATTTAGAAACACCAAGTGGAACAATGCAGTGCTTCTTAACCGGGTTGAAAATGTGGGCATGGGAGAAAGATGCTGGACGCTTCTGACTTTTATGTTGGTGCCTCACAGTTCGTGCAGCTTTTAGCCTCCATTGGCTCTATCCATGAGAAATAATGCTCCCCTATTGGCTGGATTGCGGTCCACATGCTATAACAACAGGATATGCAAAGCGCTGTGGGCTAATGGGATGGGATAATAGCCCATCGTGTTTCCTTGACCGAGATCTGTATTTTATTCAATAGGATGTATATTGCCTACTTGGAATCAAATGGTTTGGATTCCATAGCATTAATAATAACAGGCCTACAATAATAATAGTAATGTTGATTTTAATTTATAATGGACCTGCCACAGTCAAGCTGAGGGCTGTTTTGTCTCACAGAGCAGTTGTGCCTGTGTAGTAAAGCTGCTGAAGAATGTTTAAGTATCGCATCCGGACGTTTTTCAATGAACTCAAAGTGTTGTTATTGATGCGCTCTGGATCAAGCAGGAGGACTGGCACGGGAACAGACCCGGACACGCAGACCAGAATGCGAGGGCTCGCTATAGGAGGCTGTGGTTGGCCGCCGTTGAACTGCTCTCACCGGGACGATGAGGAGGAATATTATGGCTCTGACTCCCGGCCACGCAGCCTGGATTTGGAGGATACAGAAGAAGACAAACCCGAGGGAGGAGGCCTGGACGCCGCTTCCCTCCCGAGTCTCTCAGAGAGCGGGACGCGATCACCGCAATGCCGGATCTGCTTCCAAGGCCCGGAGACGGTATAGTTAGTTAAATAATAAAGGTAGTACTGTGAGTGCCTGCGCTTTAACAAGGGGTCAGCTATCCAGTAGGGACCTGGGGCCCATGAGCAAACATCAATACTTGCCTAGGGGCTCCAGAAACCTGTAGGAACCTGCACTACAGCAATGCAGGTCCTTGCTGGTTCAGGGGACCTCAAACCACGTGGTGCTCATCTGAGAAAGTCTGTTCAAAAGCAGGTCGCGAGAGGCCATGTTCACTACTTTACTGTTGTTTGAGCTCAAAAATCCAAATAAATTTCACCATGAAAATGAATACTAGAATACGCGAAAGTGAAAATTAAACTTTGTTGTTTTAGGAAAACAAACCAAATTCTTGTTAGAAAGTTGACTCATATAATTTTTGCAAAATATTTCTACAATATAGGCCTATCTAGAAATAACAGCTTGCCACGTAAACCTTTTAAAGTTTTGAACCAGTTTTCAGCTTCAGTCAAAAACTAAACTGAAGCAACAGAGGCTGAGACATCCTGACTTTTGCGAGTCAAGCTTAGAAAAAGATCCAACATTCACCATAATGCAACTCAATTGTATATTTTTTGCAAAACTCTCCCTGCTTTGTAAATTTCAATGTCTTTGTCCATGTCAATTTGTTATAAATTTATAATCTCCTAGCTCAAACTGACCCAGATGACATCACTATGACGTCATCAGGGTTATTTTCTCAGATCTGAAGAGCCACAGAAGACATTATTATCTTAACTCTTTTCACATGCTGAGGAGTGGTCCTCATAACAAGTAAACTGATACTTGTGTGAACGAATTCAATTTTAAAAACTAATTTTACACTTAAAAACCCAACTGTTTCAAAGACATGGAATTGTGTATTAAGGCTGCTATACTTATAAGATCCAGAATGACTAAGGCTATAAGGAACTAATCCATCAACAGTGATCGGATCAGTAATATATTCAGCATCTGATGCTCAAAATTAGACCATTTTACAAAAGCACTGAAGAAAGATTTCGGAGAATGATTCCTCGACATATAAGGACATTTATACTGATTATTACTCCAAGGGATTTGAGTGAGGGAGGCAGTAGAAGTTTCAATAATTTGCGGCAGGACTCTTCAGTAGGAACCATTAATACAGTTATCAAACCTTTGATCATTCCTTTAGGCTACAGAAAGGTCACATGAAGTACAGTGTCTTCCTCTCACATGAAGGAGAGCTGATGGGTGCACAGAAAGTTAAAATGTTTTTAAAAAGCTTATGTCATTCTTGTCTGAGACGTGGCATCTGAGCAATAAAGGATGAAATCAGCCTCAGAGACAGTCTTTGCTAGAGGTCTCAGAAAGTTTTTGTTTCCCCTCCAGATATCCAAGTAATTACAGACCTAGCACATTACCTGGATTCAGACAGAAAATAAAATGAGACGTGCAAGAGTGTTGTCAGTCCGAGGGCTTTAGGGAGTCTCACACTGACAGCAAAAACCTGCACCAGATGTCTTCTGATTTCTTTCGAGGATACTTGAAAGTGACACGAGAGAAGCAAAGTGTATCCATGAATGCGTTAAGCTGAACATAGTGAAATGCATCAAAGCCAGAATACTGAAGACTCTCTCTTTACTACATTTTGATTCATGTTTTGAATTTCTGATATCCTCTGAACACATCAACCACGTCTTAAAACATTTTCGTAACAATGAGGCACCGTTGCTTTTATTCCCTATAGTCATAATTAAATGAGAGATCAACTGTTGAAAGCTTTTCTCAGGAATTTACTACATTTATTTCTGTATGTCCAATTGTCATGGAGTTGATCACTGCTCCAAAAATCTCATCCCAACTGCTGTGAACGGAGAGAAAGGCAAGCTGACAAATTCATGCAACTGTTAGAGAGACGTTGGCGAGTTGGAGATACAGGATCCTAGACACTGCTGATGGAGACAATAAACACTGGGTGGTTACCTGTACAGGCACAGAATAATGCATATGTATATATGAATGACAGAGAAATTTAAAGAGTCATTAGTTATTTTATTCATTATGTTCTATATTACTGCACCAAGCAGTAACAATTGTTTGAGAAAATTGCTCTGAAGAGCCAACGAAGAGAAAAAAACATGAAAATAGCAGTTAATTGGCAACGAAAGTGAACCTTAGACGTAGTAACAAGGGAGCTGTGGGAGCTTTGATCTTACTGACCCAGAGACAATGAAACAGGAAAAAACGTTCCTCGACCTTTAGATTTTAGAAGGGAGATGGGATAACTTTGTTGCACTTTAACTGTAACAAAACCAGAGTCACTGAAGACCTGTAAACACCAACATATAGATTTAACAAACCTGGGGAGAAGCAGGAACTCAATAGAAACCTGGTCAAATATACAAAAACCTGAGATGCACAAGAGTGTCAGGAATCATGGGAGTTACTATGCAGACATCAAAGCTTTAATGACAAATACTCTTGAAGTGATAAGATCGGGTTAAAAGAAAGCTGCAGATAGGTAATAATTATATTAGATGGTAACAATGATTTATAGTTAGTCATTATTACTTGATGTTTAATGTCACTTTGAAACCCTTTCTCTCTCTGATAAATACACCAAAACATCATTGGAGACAAATATACTAATGTCAACCGTAACCCAAAATGTGTAACAAAACATAACAAAACTAAGAAAATACAAGCTACAATGAAATGATGTCATGCTCCATCAAAACAGCCCCATTCTTTCTAATATCTTAAGTTTCTTAACTTATTATTCCATGTGCATGCATACTGTGTAGTTTCATATTGATCATATTTGTTGGTGCTTGCTCCAAGCTGTTATCTTTTTAATCCCTTTGCCAGCTTCATAACAGCAATGAAACTGAATACGTCAACACTGTGCCTTCAGTAGATAAAATATGACAGTAACATTGTCAAGGCTGAGGAGGCAAGTTGTTCTATTTGTGAAAAAGATCTTCATCTTTATTTTTACTGTCATCTTCGCCGAATCAAATCTTGTAACAGGCAGATTTAATAATAGCTTCAAGATCCTGCTGAATGCAGCTGCTTGTTTTGTCCTGCAGGGAGAGCTGTTGGGCCCTTGTCGCTGTGCTGGCTCTGTGCGTTGTACTCACCAGTCCTGCCTTATCCGCTGGATCAGTGAGAGAGGCTCCTGGAGCTGTGAGATCTGCTACTTCAAGTACCAGGTCCTGGCCATCAGCACCAAAAACCCACTTCAGGTACAGCCGCTCTGTCTCTGTCTCTCTCTCGCTCTGTGTTCATCTTTAATGTGGAAATATTCTTTAAAGGACGTTTAAAGGAACAATATCAATAAAGTCCTTGACGTTAGACTGCCAAGCTACATGGCAGAAAGCCATCTGCAAACTTTACGGTGCCAGATTTGAGTGAGTGATTGGCAGTTATCACAGTAGAGGTCATTGATCAGAAGGTGAATGTAATGGCATGCAGTAGAGGCAATGCAGTGCTGACATCACCCATTCCACGAAGGCATTTTGGACTGATTTTGTCTTGTCAATGTGCACTGATTCCTAACAGGAAGCACGTTGCTGTTGGCAGATAAGTAGCAAGTATGTAAATTTTCACAGAGCTATTTATACTGTTTTTTTTTTTTTTTTACTGACAAATGGAGAAGAAGAAAGTGACGAGGACTTATAGGAAGATGCCAAGAACAAATGAATGAGACACTGCACATTTCCAAAGTGTGTGGCCCACAGACAGTAGACGAACAGACAGAATCACCAAATGTTGTGAGCTTCTGAATGCTGGAACAGAGAAACTATCAGATGAAATACTAGTTCCCTCAGACGCTTGTTTTGCTACAATCCCTGCATCTATAAATGGACACTATAATATTCCTGGAGAACTGGTGTGATGGTATTAGTGAAATTGTTTAATTCATTCAGCAATTCTCTAATTTACTTAAATAAAGGGTTTCACTATCTGTGTGAAAGCCTGGCAGCAGAGGCTCAGTGAACCTGTTATTTTATAGCACGTTGGTGACTGATAAAGCACTGTGGTTACATCAATATAAAGGTGTAGAGCTTTACACTCTGAGACAAACCCTGCACTATTACAGTTTCTCACATAGTAGAGAAGAATTTTGAAATTGACATCTGAAGTTCAAAGTTTCAGTCCATTTTTGTTTTTGTTCTAGTGGCAGGCCATCTCTCTGACTGTCATTGAGAGGGTGCAGATTGCAGCCATCATCTTGGGCTCTTTGTTCCTCATCGCCAGTATCTCCTGGTTGGTGTGGTCCTCTCTCAGCCCTTCAGCCAAATGGCAGCGGCAGGACCTTCTCTTCCAGATATGCTACGGCATGTATGGCTTCATGGACATAGTTTGTATAGGTAAGACACACACGGAACTATGTAATCTGGTACTGTTTATAAGGCATATGGAGACAGCTCATGGTATACTTAATTCCAATTAGTTGCTATCTAGAGTATTAACAGGTCAGCTGAGTACGGGGAAAAATGAGCAAATTGTTTACAGGCCAGCACACAATTAAACATTTCCAATAAATCAACAATACATTCATATTTCCTTGGGTTAAAATGGAGCAGCTATTTCAAGGCTATAATCAGTGCCAAATTACAAGTATAATTCAGCTTTTAATTAACCAGTCTTATTGACAAGACTGATCATGACGTGAGTATGATACATCCTCTGGTGACCATGAATGTCTGTACAAAGTTTCATGACAATCCATCCAATTGATGCTGTTATCATTGTCTCTTACTCAGTAGCTGACTGCAAAGCACAATGGAGATAGTTTACACAAACAATACAGTAATCTATGTGCTATTTGTTTATTCTAAGTGCACAAACAACAAGAAATAACATTTGCGTTGCATGAGTATATTTGTTGCATTCTGTCTCTGCTTTTTTTTTCTCTTCCTTGAAGGGATTTTCATCGACACGTGTTTCTAATCATACAGTCCAAAAATACCCACAAACAAGTCTAGTATATTAATCTTTTTATTTTTGAGAACATATAGTTCTTATTGACTCTGTACCTTTTACTACTTCCTGATTCTCATCGAACAAACAACTGTTTGTCTATATGTAACCTTGCTTCCTGCCCCGACCTCCCCCACCCTTTGTCCTTAATGCCCAGGCCTTATAATCCATGAAGGATCGTCTGTTTTCCGGATCTTTAAGCGCTGGCAGGCGGTGAACCAGCAGTGGAAAGTGCTGAACTATGAGAAAGCTAAGGACTTAGGTGACCCCATCAGTTCCAGCAGTAAAGGTCGTGTTGACAGGAACTCAGACAGCGGACAGAGAGCGAGTCGACATGTCAGGACTATTCTCAACCACCACTGTGGCTATACCATTTTGCACATCCTCAGCCAGTTAAGACCCAACAGTCTGCGCAGAGCCAACCATGAGGTGGTGATGAGGGTGACCACTGTATGAGGCTGGGTCATTCAGACAAGTGTTCTGATGTCTGACGAGGAGATCAAAGTGTTGATTGGGATTTAATGAAAAACAAAATCCCAATCTGCCACATAAACACTGCCGTCAACTTCTAGTCTCACATTTCGCTCGCAGAATCTCCCTGAGCTCAAAGTGGACAACAGGAGATATCTGGGCAAAGGGAGAACATTGCAGTTTTATCGGAGACTCTAAAGACAAAGCCTAAAAACAAGACAAATAAGACAAAATGCATACATTTAGAAAAAGAAAAAGGTTTGATTCTTAGAGCTATTAAGCTTCTTTTTTTTACCACCATGACCCATGTTACAACATGTAATTGAAATGTTTTTTTAATGTTTTGCTTTTGAAAGAAAAAAGAAAATGATTGTCATTAAGTTTGATTTGGATTTTACTCTATAAGAGAGAGTTTGATAGTGAAAATGATTGTGCTCCTACTCATGTGACCATAACATTGGCCCCAGCCCCCATAATTCAACATATTCCTGATGGTCCACGTCAATGGATCAGATATTGAAAAGCCCAATAAAACAAGGCACAATTGCTTAAACTATCATACCCTTGAAGTACAATTAGTGTTTTGTAATAAAGACTTTGTTGATCGCAAAGTGGAACTGTGTGTTGTGTTTTATCTCATTTTTAGGCAACAAGATGGATCTTAGCAAATTTTACTTGAAAACAAATGTATACATCATAGTATAATTGTCTTAAAAAATCTGGGAGAGGCTTGAGTGAAAATCCATTCACATTCCCAAGGACAGAGAAAGACAAAGGGCGAGCTCAGTTTACAGTCTTCTGTGCACCTATGAGCGAAAAACAAGTCTCTGGTGAAGCCTTCCAGCAGCTGCGGACTATAATGTGTCAACCCTTCTTGACAGAGTGAACTGAGAAGATTATTACAGCTGACTCAGAGGACACCCAGAGGGACCTGCAGCATTTCCATTTAATAGACACCACAGTGAAGATTATAAAAGTGAGAAAAACCTATACGAGCCACTGAGTGGCTTCAGGAAGTTTTAAGAATCCTTCACTTCTATTCACTATATTCCCTGAACTCTGTATTTGTGATGTTTGACTCTGGGTGGGCTACTGTTTCTATTGGAAACATTTTCTCCCCAGTACAACATATCAACAACAATAATAACTAATAGCGATAGTTAGTAGATACGACATAATAAAATACACCTGCATCTGTTTAAAATAATAATGTGGACTTTCAGCTTAAAGTAGCCTTGTGAAATTAAACTTTGTCGCAACACAATGGTCATTTTAAGTAGATTTTGCCATGTAGAATAAAGGCATTTTATTTATTTTTTGAGACCATATTCCACCCTTTACAAGATTAAATAAAGACAGTACACCTGAAGGATCCAAAGAGCACATGTATGTGATTACAGCAGCTCCACTGTCTTCACACTCAAATTAAACAATCTGAGAATGGACAATTACTATTGAACTGACCTGTGATGAGATGTCACTCATAGACATGCCAATAGATAATAAAATACAAGGACAGAAGTATTTATTATTAATAATAATAATAATAATAATAATAATAATAATACATTTGATTTGTAGAGCGCTTTAAAAGGTACTCAAATATGCTTTACATGGTAAAAACAGAAACAATAGAAGCAATTATAATACAAACAAAATAGATGACATAGCAGTAAGGAACAGCACAAAAAAACATACATAACTAGTAAGTACACTACTTTTATTTTTGCTACTTTAAGGACATACTTTTAAGTGACTTCTCATCGAGGATGTAAAAAAAATACAGCAAACCTGGCAACCCTGAAAAGACGCATGGTGATGACGCGAAATCGCTGCGACTCATAACCGGTGTGGTAAACTAACCAGAAACGAACGTGACTTACTGGGGAATCGACTTCGTTTATTTAATAATTAGGTGACAGAGTGACTATTGTCGCGAGTAACGTCTCTAGTTTAATCCAAAATGACTTCGTCAATGCCGCAGAAACGTTACTACCGACAGCGAGCCCATTCAAACCCGATGGCTTACCACACGTTTGACTAGTGAGTGAGGAACATGTGTCCGAGTTTCATAGCTGCACCACACAGTGCTCATGCAACCTTCTTATTATCAGTTCCTACTGTGTGTTTCTCCGTTGGTATGTCGCAAAAGTTTTGTTTTTAGTTGCATATGATTTAGATATTTATCTGAGACGACTGTCTCCGACACAGTGTAATGTACAGTAGGTGCAAACAACAATGAAAAGCTATATTTAACAAGTAATCTCTTTTCAAAACCACTACCTCTGTTACTGTGATGATCCACAGACTTCCCTGTCAGCTGTTTTGATGTTTCTACTTTACACAATAGTTCAATTGAAAACCCCCTCTTTCCTCCTCAGTCCTGTGTGTCCCGAGGAGATGGACTGGTCCGAGCTGTATGCAGACGTCTTCACTGGCAACCCATCTGACAAAGAGACCCCTCGAGTTGAGTTTGCAGACATTGGATGTGGATATGGGGGGCTTTTAGGTAGTTATGTCGCTGTTCTGACACCACACAGTTTTCACAGATCATAGTTTTGCTCTGTGTTGACCTCGTGTCCCCTTCTCTCGTGTCTCTGTGTGTCTTCACTGTCACCCAGTGGAGTTATCCCCACTTTTCCCAGACAAGCTCATGCTGGGCATGGAGATCCGAGTGAAAGTGTCCGATTATGTTCAGGATCGTATCCGATCCCTGCGTGCCTCGGAGCCAGGATGCTACCAGAACATCGCCTGCCTTCGCAGCAATGCGATGAAGTATCTCCCCAACTTCTTCTCCAAAGGACAGGTAGGCCTGCACCTGTGTGATAAAAGTCAAAAACTCCTCGAGATCCTAACAGAACTGTTTTTCACTCAGGAAGATTTATGGAATTTGTTGTATTGGAAGAAAAACGTACACATTTGACATTTTCAGAAAAAATACATTTGTTTGTAGCTTTGTCCTGCTCTCCAACTCAAAACGGTCTTGACTTAGCGCCGTTTAAATTCTCCGTTCCCCTCGAATCTCCTCAATTAACTCAAGAAACCTAAATTACCAGCAGCATCTGGCTTCTGCAGCTTTTTAGCTTAGCCTCACAGTTGCTGTCTTTACCTGCAGTTCAACAGAGGTTCATTCATTTAGAACACCTGCGTCATAAGTGTCTGTACGGTATTATCGCATCAAACATCAAACATTACTAAAATACTGCTATTAGTGCTAAAATATAGTGCAACTAGTTCACACCATGATTGTCTGTGATTAAATCAAACCTAACGAACTACACTACGAACTGAGTTTATGATCCAAGCCACCAGTCTATAAGCAAGAACTTAACGTATGTTTTACCTGCTGAAAGGCACGTTATGACATCACAGTGATATGGGCTTTTACCAGCAGCTATTATAACACCACTCGCCCATCTGCACTCCATCTCTTTGTTACCAATAACAAATACCACGGGCTGAGCTCTGGGGATGAATGAAATGTGTGACATCTTGAAACAGGAAGTTTTATTTGTAAAATGCGTGGAACTAGTCACGTGACTAGCGACTCACGTTACTAACAAGTGATGTGACAAAATGTCAGTCTACTGCTCTAGAACATCTGTCTCCTGGACGGGAGTCCGACGTTGGTTTGACCCACCCGCCATGCGGAGACGGTCTAATTATAACGAGGGCGGGTTTACACGGGAGTTAGTTGAAAGCCGGATGCATCGGTATCGGACGCCGAGGGGCACTGACCAACCGTCGGTATTTGACGAGTTGGACACGGACTGTTAACCTGCGTTCAACCGAAGCCGACCCGAGCGTGATTAGTCGGTTCAACTCGGACGACAAACGGAAACCAAGAAGGCTTCTGACACCAACATCTTGTCCCGTTGCCAGATTGAGCATGTGAATGAAATTATTAAGTTATAGATACAGTTATGGGAACTGTTGGCAGTATCGTTACCATCAGAATGTTTGACCACATTATATATGTATACCGGCTCATTTCAACAAACGCTGTACACAACACTTGCATACTGTAGCACATAAACCTGCGGGTCTACTATAGCGTGGCCTCTAATAACCGGTTTGTTCCGGCGCTGCCAAGGTAACAAGAATATGCACATTTCTCACAACAAATAATTACTTTTCTTCATGGTCAACATATTGTCTCACTGAATTTATACGGATTGCTCATTAAATCCAGGATTTCACAACAATGGGGTCCTTGACTGACACGCGAGGCAGCTGAGTATAGAGCGTGCACGACGCCATTTATCCGTTCCAATTAGCTGGTAATCTATGACTTGTTGAAAGTCGCATTAGATTACGCAGTGTGGGCTTAGCGTACCAGGGTTTAGGTGCCCTCGGTTAAAAAAAACTTCAACTCAAATGCCCCGAGTGAGTATAAACTGAGAAATTAACATAGGAGAGTAATTGGTAATTGATGTTTTATTTAGTAACACATACATTGATTACATTTGTTGTTATTTTGATATGCTATGTCAGGTAATTTAAGATAAAGACGCTTATTTCTATAGCCTGAGTTGAGGCCTTTTGCCGAACTGACATTGGAAATGTTTCAGAGAAACGGCCTAGTTTGAAAGAGAAGTTTGTCTTGGCTTTGCATCAACGTGCTTTATTTTGCAGACAGTGACACTCCCTTCATAAGTCGCATCTCTTGACTCGCATTAATTCACCAGGGACGAACATGTTTCTAGCTGCAGCTTGCTTTAGTATTAGCGTCTTCCTCGCTCGTGTTTAGAAACAAAACTGTCGTAGAAATAAAAGACGACCACCTAGAGTCTGGGTCCTAGACTAGTGCTCAGAATCTAGTCCCAATCCTTCTGGCATGCCCGATGTGTTTCAAGTGTTGACACATATATTCACATATTCTAAAGATATGAAGTACTTTTTTTCCCGCTCTTCTTCGTATGTTTTTTAGCCAAAAATGATTCTTCCATCATCACCAAAGCAGCCCCGAGGCTTCAGCAGTCCCGGGTGATTATCCCCACATCTTTCTGTCTGTACCCGACATTATTTATTTTAACGAATGAACAGTTACTGGAATAGTTTTGAATGTATCTGCCAGACTGATATCAATGCAGCCTTCACTTGTGCACTCGTCAGAGATCGAGACATGGGGGAGAAAAAAACTCAAGAAGGGAAATTCCATTGTTGCAGTCAGCAGCGCTTAAAAAAGCAACCGCAAAACCTAACGAAGGGTGCGTTTATTTAATTAGATAATAATTAAACATTCTATTTTTATCTTGTGTGTGTGTGTGTGTGAGAAAGACACCAAGTAATTACCAGAGTTTAAAAGAGCAGTCTGTTTTTCATGCCTCTGCAACGGCCCGGCAGGAGGCATTGTGTTCTCGGGTTGCACCTCCGTCCGTCTCGTTCCCATGAATGTAATATCTCAGAAACGCCTCGAGGGAATTTATTAACATCTGGCACAAACGTCCTCTTGGACTCGAGGGTGAACTGATTCGATTTGGGGAGGTCAAAGGTCACTGTGTCCTCTCATCCGTCCCATTCTCATGAATGCAATATCTCAGGGAACACCTTGAGGGAATTTCATTACGTCTGGCTCAATCATCCACTCGGACTCAAAAGGAGACGTATCACTCTGCAGCCATTGGTTCAGAAGTTATTTAGACTTTGTGTGAGCCGTTCTTGAATAAAAGATTTATTATAATCTGATGAACTGATTAGAATCTTGTGGCTAACAATCCCCGTGACTTTACAAAACCATAATTCATATGCTGATTATAGCAATTTAACACGAATGTCTAAAAGGATCAAATTATGAAGCTTTTTGGTTTCTGACCGTCTTTTTGTGTCTTTCAGCTCAGTAAGATGTTCTTCCTCTTTCCTGACCCTCACTTTAAGAAGACCAAGCACAAGTGGAGGATTATTAGTCCCACATTGTTGGCAGAGTACGCCTACACGCTGAGAGTCGGGGTATGTACATGTGTAAGACTTGTTCCAGCTCGTGCTGAAACGATTAGTCCATCAACTGAAATTTTACCTGCAGTCATTTTGACAGTTGTTTGTGATTCATTGAGCACAAATTCTAACAACATTCACCGGCTTTTCAAATATGAGGATAACACATTTTTGAATGAATACATTTGGGTTTCAGACAGTTAGTTGCTCAAAACAAGAGATTTTATCTCGAGCTTTGAGACGGTACCTTTTTTTTACATCTTTTTAGACTGATGCAGGTTTTTGAAAATCGTTTGTAGTTGCTGCGGTTGTTCCAGCCAAGTCGTTGTTCAATGTTTGACTCTGAATCATTTTTTTAAATTGAAGATTCACAGACGTAAACGTAGGAAATTACAAAATTAAGTTGAAACTTGCCTTTTAAATGGTCTGTTTAGCCAAAATACCAACATTTCTCCATCGTCAACAAATGCCATGAAAAGACTAAAGCCAACAATACTTTGTGTCCTACCATCCAACATCACTACACTGTTGGTGGTTGGTTGGCATGCAGCCACAAGCCCATTCATTCCCAGTGAAGAAGGAAGTGATTAAAAACGGGTCACAAATGTGTAGTTTAATTTTTAATGGTTAAATGATTTCCATTTTCGTAAATGTCACTCAAACAGCGTTAAATAGGGCAACTGTTTGGGACTATTTTCAGCTGCGGTCTAATGCAATGTTGGTGCAGTAGGGAGTATTTGCGGGTGCAGAACGGTGTCTGTGGGATCGACTTACAACGCAATGAAAGAACATGTCAGCCAGTCTAACAGTGAGGGCACATTGATGTGTTGTTATTAATTCTTTGAACAGTGGAGCACTATGCATCGGCTACACAGATGCTACTTGTAAGTAGGAACAATTTAATCGGATTTGTTGACAATAAAAAAAGTAGTATCACCAGCTTAATGCTTTAAGATACCATTGTTTCGGTAATAATATCGGAGCTACACCCAGACACAATGAAGGAGAATTGGATTTAATTCATTGACTTAATGGCACTGAAACCCAACTTCAGTAAAAGTTGAACAAGGCATTGCAGTGTGCAGAAATCCATGAATTCACTGAAATAAAATGCAACAACCGGTGTGGCCTGCAGCTGGTAGACGTCTCTTCACACCCCGCTTCTGCCTGTCAGAGCAACAGGGAGACACTCGAATCAGACGCGTTGCTGATGGAGGTTTCGGGAACAAAGGAAGGCTTGTGCCTATATTTGGCTTCTTTTATTGTTTTTTTCTCGCACGTGTGCATTAATACATTGGTTTACGCACGTTTTGTGTGCGTATACGTTTGGGTGTGTCGGCTTTACGAGGGCCCTCGGTATTAGCATGCAGCCATAACTGTGCTGGTGGGGAAACTGTCAATAAAATTTATAGAGGCAGTTTCATACCAACATTAACCTCCATCAAAAATTATTGTTGTTCATAAATTAATATCTTTTGAATCAGACTACGCCTGCAACGGTAAACGAGTGTGATTAGCATGAATCTGTGCACACAGCCTCTCATCCTCATCCTTCCTTCTCTAAACGAAACCCATACGTGCCGATATGCTCTTGTGTGGAAATCTGGGCCATTGCTGAATTTTCTAAGAAACCCATGTTCCAGTAATGTTATCTGTCCGGCCCCCAAAGTAAACTACAGTGTCATAGGTGATTAGCCTCTGTGTTGTCTGCAGGTTATTTTGATCTATTTTTAGCATGGACCGTTGCTATCCAGAGATGGTGAAACCACTCCGCTCCCATTCTGAAATCTTGGACAGTGTTTAACAGGAAAAATAAAACTGAATAAATCAGAGGTGTATTCAGTTTATTCGATAAATGCCGTAGGTTTATTTAGTGAGCGATAAATGGATGTTTAACGTCTTTTTCCCAGAACTGTGTTAATAACCTCCCTGTGTTTGTGTGGGCTTGTCAGGGTTTGGTGTACACCATCACAGATGTGGAGGAAGTGCACGTCTGGATGGTGAAGCACTTCACTGAACATCCACTGTTTACACGCGTCCTCGATGAAGAACTGGTACGTTGATTTGGACCTTTTCATCCCTTTGTCATCTGCTTATTGAAGGAAAAGAGGTCCGACACATTATTGGAAGGAGTAGTTCGACATTTTGTGATAAACGTTTTTTCACTTTCTTAGTTGAATCATATCAATCTCATCTCTTTATACTAAATACGAAGCAAAGCTACACGGATTAGCCTTATGCTTCATTTAGGCAATGTTAGCAAAAAAGGGAAGAACAGAAATCCTCCAGTTTTTCTGACTTGGGAATGTTCACGCATTATTCTAAGATGATCAACCTTGAAGTCCCACCAGATAAATGAGCTACTTCTGTTGTGTTACTTCTTTTGTTAAAGCAGACACAAGCAAACTGTGTACAGCTGCCTTTAAGGTAAGCGTTAAAAATGTGTTTATTGATGAGATGACTGTTACCACTGTCTGGACAGACACGAGGAGAAATCTTCACGGCAAGAAAGCAAATGTGTATTTCCCAAAATGTTGGACTATTCCTTTAATAAGTTCGTCATGTTTCCATTAATGATTGAATAAGAGCAAGAAAGGTGGGTTTAACAAAAACAAGTTAAGTTGAGCTTATCTGACGCTGCATCCTTTTAATGTAATTGTTTTCGATCTTATTTTTGACAGGTTGGAGACGTGATCGTAAATCGTTTGGGTACCTGTACAGAGGAAGGAAAGAAAGTGCAGAGAAATGGAGGGAAGAATTTCCTCGCAGTTTTCCGAAGGATTGAGGATTCAAACTAAGAGCGAAGAGTTTGGACGTGCAATGAACTGAAATGATGGTCGGGTGCAGTCGAGTGTACGTGGAGGATAATGCTGCTCTGTGGATCTGGAGGCTGTGGCTTGTTCCTCAGCACATGAACAGTGATATTAATGGACCAACATTTACATCATTACCCAACAGAGGGTTAGTGTTTGAGTTTGTTTCTCATAGTTTATGTATTTCATTTCTCAGCTCACAAAAAGACAGCACAAGGGAAGTAAATCATAAAAGCATCTCTATTCAGACTAGACTTCTGAAATGTTTTGTATTGCTTTTTTAAATTGATTTTTAATGTTCTTTTGTTAAACTTCAAAGTGCTGTTTTGGATTTACTGTAAAACTAAATTCTTTTAGGACAACAGAAAGAAATCAAGTGTTGTCTTTGGTTCATTGTGTTGATCAGTACATTGACTGTGAACAGTTGAAATTGAAAATGGAAAGACTATATGTTGTGTTTTACATTAGTTACTTTAGGGCCACAAACTTTAGTCACAAACAGGACTAAAAAGAGCCGCTCTTTAGTCAACATCTTAGATTTTACTGACTGAGAAGGTTGCCAACAATCTTCATCCTGCTTATTTGCGATGGGTCATTGTCGGGTTTGAAAATAAACCCGCATGCTGCAGCACGTTCTGTGAGAAGTGAGCGTAGCACAGTTTCAAATTCAACAGAGAACTGTGACACAAATCATGTTTCAATTTAATCTGTTTTGACAAAGCTGTTAAAGGAACTTGTTTAATTGATACTGGTATGTTTGATTAACGGAAGTTCTCGCTAATGTGATTGAAATTTACTTATTTAAAACCACACATTACCACAGAGGGTGATGCTCCTACATGTCATGTGACATCCAAAACAAACTCTTCGTCTACTGAGTATTTTTGTGAAACAGAACAGTGGATTTCTGTGCTCATTTTATGATTTTGGCTGTTTTATTACAGGCTGGTGTTCTTGTCTGTCAGGAGAACGGGTGGCAGTGCAGGTTTGAGGCCCTCCTGCTGCTGCAGGGGGTGGTGGTTTAAAAACAGGACAGCACATGCCTCAGTAATGGGAACCCAGACACGGTAAAACTTTAGATAATGACAGAGCAATTGATGCACTCATAAACAAAACAAATACAAAACCATACTATTAATATTCTACCATAACATTAAATCTACCTATCTTGCGTATCCTCTGCTAAGGTATTGGCATTCTGGCGTTAGTCGACCATAATTGACACTAAATTTGTACCAAATCAGTTATTTTTATTCAACTAATGCTGCACTGGTACGAATGTATAGATTGCTTCCAGTATTCAGAGAAAAAATATTTTTGAAACACTATCTGTGAATACGTGGTAGACTCTTATCTACTTGGTTTCTCAGATCTGGACTAATGAGAAACCCGAGTTTCTAACCTAATCTTTTTATGCGCTTCAACTCAACAGAGAAATATTGTCTCCAATTTCTTCCGATTGTCCTATTTCCTAACACTGCACGGCTGCCTGTGACCCATATCCAAGGAAAATAAATAGCTCAATGTGGTTGAGTCAACAGCTCGGTCATTCCTCTGCCCAACACCATTATCAAATACAGAAAGTATTCACAGAACCTTTTATGATGTGCACATGTTAACCAGTCTAATCTATCTAATCTGGGATGTTGACGAGGAGCCGCTGGTCTGTGTTTATTATCCCCATGGGGTGCATCATTTAACATTTTAGTACCATCAGGTCATCAAACAAGAGTTGAATTAAATGCACTGCAGGAGAATCAAAGAAAGAGAAATGTAATGATTAGCATTTGGCAACACTAGCAATGTGGATGCTGCTTCATACCCAAAGAATTAGTTCCATCCGGACGTCAGAATGTTTTTGAGGTCAAAGGTTTCTACGGTGTTCACAGAGGCAGCTGTCCACTGTTAAACGTTACAAGACACAAGGATGTGTTGCTGATTTCATTATCACCTTCCACCTCCGTCAGTTCCGTCAGTGTAAAACAAAGGCAAATGATTTGACTTCAATTGGATGAAAAGATTGATACTACTCTCTTGTCTAGGATAGGTGTTTCCCTTCTGTTTTCAGTCTTTGTGCTAAGCTAACAAGCTGCTGGCTGTAGCCTTACATTTACCGCACTAGTGATATCAATCTACTCGCCTAACTCTCAGCAAGAAAGCAGTGGCATGAACATGTCCTTTAAACTGCTTAATTGTTCTTAGTCTTCACTCTCCCAGACTTGTTCAAAGCCTTTGATAATGTCAACCACCAGACTCCAACAAGAGGATCTCTAGATGTGTTTCCATCCTAAATGTCTAACTGAACTCATCATTTATCATAAAGAAGGTATCTGACCTGATCATCTTTCTATATTCTTAATCACATCATTTCCTACTTTTTGCCAAGTCACTGGCACTCTTTTCCATCCTCATACTCGGGTTGAGGCGTGTGTGCCTAGTTCACATCTCCAGCTGGATGTCTGCCCACCGCCTCAAGCTCGTCCTAAACCCAACTAAGCTGCTGTACTCTCCATGAAAATCCTGACTCGTTTCTCCCCCGAGGATTAACAAACTGTGGGGATATTCTGCACATCACAGGCAATCTGCCATCCTGCAAGCTTGCAGAAACAAATCCTTCCTCACTTGGGATTCTCAGGTCTCGACTAATGAGAAACTTCCACTGACCCAAGTTTCCATGCTAATCTTTATAGGCCCTTCAACTCAACAAAGAAAAAATGTTCTCTTGGTGTCCAACTTCTCCCAATTGTCATATTTCCCAAACTGCCTGTGAAAAAAAAAAAGAAAAAGCCCGGTTTTATATCTCAAGTTTTGGTTTGCATTCAATGAAGCAAATCCTGTTGAAATCTTGACACTAAAATGTATCTTTCTGAAAATCTTTGAATCATTCAAAGTATTTGAGTGTAAACTATTGTCAATAGGGTTGTATCAAACTATTATCTTTATTAAATGTCCATTTTTGTCACACCACATGTAAGTGGTAGATGTTAGGAAATGTGATCTTTAGTAAGCGTTGCTGCTGATGGACAACAGTAATTATTTTAAGGTGGAGAGCAGCTGCCCGCTCTCTAAATGTTTACACTTGGTGCTCATGACATCATGATTGCTTCATTATTTAAGTCAGCTTGCATCAGATGACCAAAACATGACGCAGTGCCAAATGGTCATCAGTCATATCTTCTCAAAAATTTAAGGTCAAGGAACAATTACGGCCTCTAGCTGCCATTTAAATTTGTTGAAAATAATTATGAGAATGGAAACCGCTATGCTATACAGGGATTCATTGAAATAAGTTAACAAAAAAATTCCAGCATCCATTGAGTCGTCCAAGATGCAATAAATCTCGCTGTAGCTCTCTGAGTTATACATAATGTCAAACTTCAAAGTACAACAAAAAGGACCGCTTTGAAAATCTAGCTATATGATCTTGAATAAAACATAACATGGAAGATGTGTGTCTACTTGTGTTTTAGTCTGCTGCTGATCAAATATACAGAGATGCTGCTGCTGCTCTTAATGCCATATCAGTGCTAAAACCTCAGAGTGAAAACAAGCTTCAGAGGGAACAAATCCAAAGCTCAGTGGGAAGAATGACTAAGAAAAAACCGCAGAGACGAATGTAATCAGTGTTTTATAACACTATTAAGGTCAGCTAGTTCTATAAGTACGATAGCAGGAGGAACATGTAAACAAGGCCCACAATCAGAATGTAACTCTTCAATATTTCTACATACAGAACTTGGAGGACAGCAGCACATCACAAAACCAATTTGGCTTCATCCTTCGGATGTGATGTGAGCGATGACTCTTTGTGAAAACAACCAGGCAGTGTTAATTGACTGAATGTTAGTGAAAAATCAACGGGTTATATTTTCTGTGAAATCCCTCATTACATACCGTAGGTCTGTTACATACTGTACATCCCGCGGACATAGACAGTTCATTGTCTATCACGCGTATGTTGTCACTGTGGTGGACATTCATTATACACAGTCATTCTCCTCTTTCACATCTTGTGTCCAGATGTGCTCTCAGTCTAACAGATGTCACTTACACCACCTTAAACCCCTATTGTATATTCATGACATGAACGTGCTTTATTAAAAACGGCACAACCGCAATCAAGTACCGCATGTATGGTGATAAAAATCATTATTCACTAATTTTATTGCCCTTTTTTTATACTTCATTACCACATCCTCATATCCTGTGTGCTCACCAGCAGCTGTTGGCAGGCATTTGGCAAAATGTTGTTCGTTACTCTGTGCACACCCCAGCTTACTGCCAGAAAACTCTTTGTGTCTGAACACGTGGACACATCATAAACACATCCTGAATATTATATTCTGAACAGTGAACATTTCTCAAACACAATGAGGAGCAACCCAAAACAATAATTTGACAAATGGAACAACATTCATGTATACATATTAATATTAGGTGGCCAAATAGGAAAAACAACTTGCTGTGAGACTGATGTTTACTGTATTTAGACTAGCAAGCTGCCCACCGATTGAGAGTGCATGAAATCCAGTTAGTGAGAAAGCTGAGAGGTACAAACAGTAATAGACAAATGGTTGAAAACTTAATTAGTAAACTATTTAAATGGCTAAAAGCAATGAATAAACAGAAATATTTAGCTAAAAATATTGGATAAAAAGTTTAAAGCAATAAATAAACAGTTGGAACATGGGTAAACAGAGATGGTCAGCTAAAAGTTAACCAAGTGTTAGTAGCATGAATGCAAACTTTACCAAAGCAATGTTAACATTGACAATTAAATGATATGAAAAAAAAATTTGACGTAATATCAGTTATACTTTATATAATCAATATTATTAACATTCAGTTTATATCCCATTCATAAAATGAAACATGATGTTTGGTGCAGATGAAGGGGAATTTACCTGATTGGACTTTGGGATTATGCATCAAACTAAACAGATTGGAAACCACTGACTTAATGCTTATTGGGTATCATGTAACAGACATGGACATTCAAAAACCATATACAGAGCACATAAATACACCATACTCACCAGCCTGCTGAGTGAGCGAAAACCAGTTACACAACCGCTGGACACACACTCACTCATTCATTCATCTGAACCTCTGGGCATGTACACGTGTGTGTGTGTGTGTGTGTGTGTGTGTGTGTGTGTGTGTGTGTGCGTGCGTGCGTGTGCATAGATACTTTTCTGATACCACCCAGACAGGCAGACTGCAGCCATGAACTTTAACACACTAATCTTGGAGCAGCCTCCCTTTTGGGCACTGGGCCAATACTATATTTGGAAATACCTCTCAGGCTGTCTCGCTGCGCTCTTTTGCGTGATCTACGACCGGGCCACATCAGTTCGCACCACACGACGGCACAAAGAAGCCATTCTTTCAAAGGATTTCTTGTTATGTTTTTTTATAATCAATATTAATCCCCCATTACTCAGCCAAGGCCAGATTCATAAAAAAAAGTATGGTTTTGGAGAGGGTTTAATTTGTGTCAACTTCTTGTGTGGTCTTAAACTACCACCCTGCTGAGCAGGAAAGTGAAGATGAGCATCTGAACCGCGTTGCCAAGCAAAATGTGAAGATATGCACATCTTTATTAAAAAGAAACACGAAGAACAAGATGAGGGAAATGCATTTTTTATTTATGACTGCATCCCTGAACAGCCACACATTCCAAAAAAGGAAAAACAATCTCATCAGCATTACAACAAATCTTTGGTTTGATTTGTTTGCAGTGTGTTGCATTAGACTCACCAAGACACTGGTGAACTGGTTTAAAAGTTGCTTATGTGTCCATGTCAATTTCAGAGGTCATGTTTTATCTTTCAGGCTTGAAGTTAACTGTGCTTCTTCCACTCAGGTTGTTTTTTGACAGACCGTTGGTATGTGTTGCATTTTCATCTTCATAACTCAGCATTCAATTTTGTTTTGTGTGTTCTGAAAAAAAAATCTTCTGATATTACTCCTTTTAACCCGCAGCCCCATTTGGCTGGAGCTGTTGTCAAGTGATTTGTCCACTCGACCGCACATCTTCATCATTGTGCAACCCAATCTCACTTTTTTATCTCACCGTCTTACTTTTTCTGTTTTTTAATTCATGCTTTTGTCATAAAGTCATTTATCATTTAAAGCGCGTGCTTGTACTCTGTGTCTTTAGATACATGCTTGAAGTTGCTTATTTTTCCTATGGGGTATGATAAGAACTCATACAGATGACTGCTGATAAATCATGACCATTGTGGATATTACTTCAAATGCAATTTCACATCACAAGGTCTGCGTAAATCTCTTCTAAACCAGCCTAAAGGCACTTCACCGGGTTCTTCATTTTTCCATCATTTCTATATATCAGACCAAAGTTAGTTGATGACATTTTTACTTTCAGTTAGATCTATTACATTTCATCACATCCAATCCACGCAAGCAGTAGCAGGTTATACTCAAGAGATGGAATCCTCCTCCAGCCCCCAGCCAAATAAATCATGCACATTTTACTTGACCTTTGTACAATGCCAACACATGAGATTGGCCGAGAAATGAGTGAGTGTCCCCAAAACACAGGCTCGAAGTGTTCTGCACTGGATCCCTTAACACCAACTATAGCCGTTAAAATCTAGATGTCATATCACGTCACACGTCATGTGATGTTGCAGTGTGGATTTTGTTTTTCCTAATCACTGTCTCACTCAGCAAAATTACACGCAGGATACTGCAACCTGCAGTATCCTGCAGGTTGCAGTATCCTGCAACCTGCAGGATACTGCACATCATTATAACAAAACATTAACATGTCATTTTTAACAACTTTAGAAAGCTGCTGGGCTTATTTTCAGACGCTAATCACGTATACATGCATGATTGAAATATTACAAAAAATGTGTCACCCAATTGTTGCTCCGTATTTTAGAATATGCTGATATTGTATACCATAATACTGAGTCCCATCTTTGACCTAAATGTTTTTTACAGTAGTTTATGTGGAATTATTTTTTGAAATATCCATGTCATAATCGAAGACCATCATTCATGACACCATGGGTATGAAATATATATTGCATTCTTTTTAAATACCCAGTTTATTTAAAGCCATATTTATGCCCCAATGCATTAAACACTCTGATCATCTTTGCCTGTTTTTGCTCAGTCTCTGCAGAAATTGATTATTAAAAAAAAGTATTTTTAGAACCCCTTTGATTTTAATAACTTCCTGTAACACATCAAATCCATAGCCTCTTTTTTTATGATTTTGTCATGTTTTGCTCACTACATAGTCAGGTTTTTGTGCGCACCTTCCACTAACTGGTAAGATGTAGCCTTGGGTCTGGCCAGGACCCTCTTGGAAACAAGAGGATGCATCTCAACAGGCGTATCCTGCAAACATTAGAAAAGTTTAAACACCAATCAAGCCTCGGTGTTTCTGTGAAACTGGGTGATCCAAGATTTCTAGATAGAACAAACGAAATACGGGAGCAAATGTCACAACAGATTCTGAGTAGGCTAGCCTCGTTACTTCACTGTCCACACACATGGTGCTTTGGACAAATTCCAGTTCCAATGAATTCAGGTCAGGATTTACTCCCTCGCTAGAGAAAACCCCCCAAGTCAGCAAAATAAGAGGTCATAGCTGCATAAACAAAGCCCCCCAGGTCTTAAAAAGACACAGGCTGGTCCTGCTTGTTTCTTCAAGCTTGACTTAATGTCTCAATGTCTTTGTTAGGGCATTTTGATGGAGGGGGGATTATTGATTCATCTGTTTCAGCGTAAGGGTTTGGCTCGCCTGAATCAATGGGATCTATACCATACTAACATTGTCCTTGAGGTGAGGGTTAAGTGACCTACTAAGCACACAAGACCTAATTTTCACATGAGGGTGATCACATGAACCATGTCTGTCGACCGGACTATCGGAGATCAAAGTGCTGCAGGGAAGGGGGGGGGGGGGATAAGACTCAACAGCCATTTTACGGAGAAGTCATGTATTATTTATCCAGGTCCTCCACGTGTGCTGTTTCTGGGATGGTCCGAGCTCAGCCCTCTGATTGGACACACCTTCCTCTCAGATCCTCATGCCTTCAGAGTATCTTCCAGGCGCGGGGGCGGGGCACGCGCCGCATTAACACCCATGATTGGCCCAGATTTAACAAAAAATATGCAGCTTTATCTCCACGCGTTCGAGTAGCAGGTCGCGGGGTTATAAATACTGCCTCCAACCGGGTAAAACAAAATGAGCACCGACGTCCGGCCACGATGTCATGATTACTGTGAGAAGGATGCTGCAACAAGCTCTCAAAGTATCCGGCCGGAGCGCCTTCCCACTGGTGAAGTGGATGGAGAGGTGGACTAAGGGCGCATCAGCCAAGCCGCAGGCACCGAGGACCCTGGACGACATGCCGGGACCGTCGGTGGCCATCTTCGCCTGGGACTTGTTCGCCAGACGGGGGCTGTCACGGCTACACGAGATACAGGTAAATATGATATTGTTCAACAGGGATTGAGTTAAAGACACATATGAATAGTTACAATACTTGCATTTTAATATGAATACATTCAGTATAGGCTGCAACAGTGCGCTAAATTATCTAAAATACTGACGCACGGGACACGACAGAATGAATGCATGTTGTAGGAAAAATACTTAGGATTTAAGGTGAGCACAAAGAAACTCTCCTCCTTCCACCTATGAATGTGAAAACAGCCTTCTAGTGTCATACTCTGCATATACACAAGTCTGCTCAAGCTCAAAGTGAAGTAAAACATATTGTTGAGTGGAGGGGGGCTTTAATCTAGATATCCCTTTTGAGACGTTGTGGTCTGTTTAAATATTGCAAGTTAATTTAGCCATCAGTTATCAACATGTCTGCCAAGTAGAGAAGAAGATCTGGCTGATCAAACGGTGCCTGTCAAGTAATGAATGTTCAGTGAAAATGATCTAATCATATTTGGATTAGAGAAGCCTGCACGTGTCTTCCTTTCTTCACTGGGCTTCAAACTAGAGGACAGTGCATCCAAAGCCTAGTAGCCAGCAGGGTTTTCACAAAGTCGCCCCTCTCTCTCATGTCCCAGCTGGAAGGAGTGCAGCGGTATGGGCCCATGTGGAAGGCCAGCTTCGGCCCCATCCTGACAGTTCATGTGGCTGATCCAGCGCTCATTGAGCAGGTACTGAGGCAGGAGGGCCAGCACCCCATGCGCTCTGACCTTTCCTCCTGGAAGGACTACAGGAATCTCAGAGGACACCACTATGGACTCCTCACATCGTGAGTATCACTTCCTCTTCTTTCTCCTCTTCTGTCTTGTTGGAAACCCCTAAACCACAAGATGGTGTCAAGCTGAATGTAAACTTGAGTGATTTGTAATTTCATTGTAAGATATATATATATATATATATATATTACTGAATGATGTAATAAAGTAACAGAGAACTAAAAACAAAGACACTAAAATCAAAGATAAGACCGCTGTTCTAATCTCATTTCATTCATATTTAGCCACAGTGATCAAGGGAACTCCCCCTCCAATGTGGTGACAACTAATACAGAACTTACAAGACTTTAAATTGACCCTCTTACTGTTTTACAAATCTATGTTTTTTTTTTCTGATACTGAATGAAATAAAGTGGACAAACCCTTTTTATACTTTTGATAGCCTGAGTTAGTGCAGCTGAATTGTGTGTGCACATATGCTACACTAACATGAGCCTTTGTTTATTTTTACTTTGTGTTCCTAGTGAGGGGGAGGAGTGGCAGTCGGTGAGGCGTCTCCTGGGGAAGCATATGCTGCGACCAAAGGCAGTCGAAGCTTACGATAAAACCCTCAACGGTGTGGTCAGTGACCTCATTGCCAAACTTCGCCTTCGCAGACGCTCTCAGGGCCTCGTCTCTGACATCGCCAGCGAGTTTTATCGCTTTGGTCTTGAGGGTAAGGTTTCATGTGTTCGGAGGCGAGGCAACATCATGCATCACTGCAGGGTTTACCACACCGTGTAAACATTGGTAATTAGGGCCAGACACATGAAGGAAGCCGTATTTTGGGAGATGACTGACATTTGTTTAAACATAGATGCCTGTCAAAGCCTGTAGTTTCAACATTTTCCATCATGGATCAACAACAAGTAAACTTCAGCTCACCTTTCCAGTGATGAAAGAAAGTAGCGTTTCTGCAAATACAAAAAAAAGTAAGAGTCCTGCATTCCAAAATATTACCAGGAGAAGCTGAATTGCCTATTTCAGAGTTTCATGTTATATATATATATATATTATATGTTATATATATATATATT